TTTAAATTGATTTCTCTTATCGAAACTCCCATCGTCTAATAATAGAGGTTTTTAATTTGGTTTTCTAATTCTTTGCCAGAAGGGGTATAATTCACTCCAACTTTCCCGATAAATTCAAAATAAGGGGACAACTTAACCAAATGAGATATTATTATCAGTTTCAATATGTTATCTCCTGCACATTCAAGGTACAAGTAAGCAAAATAGAGGGAGAGCGGTAAAGGATTGAAGAAGACCAAACCAGTAAGAAGATAGTACAAGAAAATTTTGGTTGGACTAGCATGAAATTGTTGACACCAATCTAAAGGCAAAAGGGGCTTCTTTAAGGCATATCCCTTCTTTCTATGAGAAAAGGTGACATAAGAAATATGGGGTATTGGAGACAGTTCCAACTTTTGCTGTCAGTTTCTCTCAAATTACAAGAGAAGAAAACAAAATATGCTGATTTCGACGACAGAAGAATCCAATCAACTTTGCAGTTTGCAGTTCCATATTGAGATATTGAATGGTATTGCTGCTGCTTTTGCAGCCACTACTCAACTACCAGCAATCTTGATCTCTGACTAGAGTAAGCTGAGAGAAGAAAGGATGATGCTATCCTGGGAAGGGTAGGGTAAATCCCATTTGCAAAAATATCATCAAATTTGGATTTAGATTCATTGTATTTTGTAGTCATTCTCAATTTGACAGAACTTATTTTGGCATTTATACAATTATCAAAGTCGAAATGCGATTTTGCCAGGGTATAAGAAAGAGCTAGCGAAGTAAGACTCCTTCTTGATAACTAGGCTACCTAGATTGACTTGGTCCTATTGATAGGAATATGAAGAGTTGAAAGTATAATAGTAACCCCAACAAAAAAAAAATTTAAAAAAAAGGGGAGGAGGAAAAGGTGGGATAAATAATAACTTAGACGAGAGTGACTAACATGAGAGGCTAAACAATTAGTTAATCTGAAAATAAATATGCCATTTACGAAAGTACTAACAGTTCTCATATATCCTTAGAAAGTGAACATAATTAAAATGCCCAAAAAAAACTTAGGTGAAGAGTGATAATGCGATAATGACCCCAAATTTCAACCGCGACAAATGAATCCTAAATTAGTAGCAAGAAAAAGATTAAGGTAGAAGTTTCGAGAACGAATGATACCAATTAACTTCTACGAGTTCATCAGTAAGGTTTTCAGACACAAAGGGCCAATTTTTATGTTCTCTTTTTATAATTGATGAATAACGAGAAAGTTTTTAATTTCTCCCAAAAAAGAATCTGTTGTTTTGCCCCATGTTGTGTAATGCATTGGCTGGTTCTAGACAACACAATATATTACTCCCTCCGTCCCACTTTGTTAGTCTTGTTTTTCTTTTTCGTCCGTCCCAAATTGTAGTCCACTTTCCCATTAAGAAATGTAGTAATCTTTCAAATTGTCTAAAATACCCTTATTAAATATCTTGTTATTAATACATTGTTATTAAATACTAACCCACTACATTGAATACATTGAGCTTTTCCAATACATTGAAAACATTGACTGCATTGATTAGCATAAGGGTATTTTAGGAAATTATTAATCTAAATTTATGTTTCCAACCAAATTAATTACACTTTCTTAATCTGTGTGAAAAAAAAACCAAGACTAACAAAACGGGACGGAGGGAGTATCCGTTTTCTACGTAGCATGTTCCCTATTCATTTATTTGATGCCTTTGTCTATTCCATAAACATAAATAATAATAATAATACTTATTATTATTATATGCATCTCGCACTGTAAAAGTTGAAAAAGTAATAGTAGTATTCCCATTTTCCTTAGTCAAGGCGGATTAAAAGAGTTTATCTAACATTTGTGTCATTATGTCTGTCGCAATTGGCAGCCTCTGGCTTCGATGGACTGTTTGGTACTGTATTTCAATGCAGACGCCTGAATCAAGAAAGAGTGAACAATGAGTCAATTTGATAACAAGATTTATGAGCACATGTGAAACCCAAAGCATAACTTTTTGCCATAATGCGGTTCTTTTAGCAGAGCCCTAATTCTGACATCTTGCTATAATTAATTACCTCTCCCCACTACAAATACAGCTCTTCATGATAGGAATGTTTGCGTTGATTTGGGAAGTTTTAAGATTGTTTAAGAGGCTTCAGCTTATACTCTATCAAATACATTGTCCAAATAAATAGTGCACTAGTAGTTTTAATTCAGCTCCCCAAGTGTGGAATGGCGTAATTTAAAGCATCCATCTTGCTATGCATGTCTCCTTCCACCATTTAATCATAATTAATGAAGCACGTGAACATGATTTTGCTACTTGTATAAAATACACTAAATTTTCATTTTCAAACTCCAAGGGTTACAAGGCATTTTTTTTTTTTTTTTTGTTCACATCTAGTCAAAATCACACCTATATTAGAATATCAATTGTCATCTACTTCCTTCATCTCTCTTTGATAGTTTTGATTTTTTTTCACACTATTTAAAAAAATCTGAGTTAACTTTATTGAAAGAGTAAATCTAGCCTACTATTTGTTTAAAATACCCTTACATTAATACTAGAAGTATGACTAATTACTATATCTTTATATTAATTACAACAATAATATCATGAAAAGTCGCACCATCTAAGGCATGAATCTAAGCAATTGATGAATAACGTAGGTTATACTCGCTGATAACAAAGTACATTAAATAAGAATATTTTTAAAAAGTTTTTTAAGTTAATTATATTCTTCAATAAAAAAATGGATCATTATTTGAGAATATCAAAGTGGGAGGAGGGAAAGAGCACTAATTTTACCACCAAAACAAGAAACAAAAAAGATTGCCATTTCGTAAAGTCTTTCTACCTCCATGGACTTATTATGTTTACTTGGGCAAAAATTCCTTCGAGTTCACATTGATGCGAATATCCTCGTATGCTATTTGCGTGTTTGGTTCAACAGCACAAAATTCGTCTCGTAGTATTACTATAACGTCACGTAGTAAAATAACACCTTCATTGAACCACAAAAAAGACCAACCCGAATTGTAGATTTAGCTTTGACCAAATTACAAGAAGAAAAAGAATGGTGTAAACGTAACTTAATGGGCTAATTACAGTTACATGCAAATTACAAAGCCCGTTAATAGGAGGCAAGTTTAAAGCATAAAATAAAAAAAAAAAAACTACAAGCTACAAATCCAGCCAATTGGGCAAGCAATACTTATTTAAATTCTTCACCAAATAACAAGAAAAAATGGTTAATAAAATTTTTTTATTCGGAATAGTGCTTGTGCTAATAGATTAAATTTACCAAGCAGATGCCATCCAAGTCAATTTTTATCTACTCAGGTCTCATAGTTGAAATGCTCTGGTCCAACCAATTCCTTAGAAGAAAAGATATAACACAAGTTGAAAAGTAATTGTATTAAGCGATTAAGGGCCTCAACCATCTATTTAAGGGCTTTCAATTGTTTGGGACCATTTATTTTCCACACATTAATAAATTTGTCATCTTTATTTACTAATAAATTAAAAGCATCTTCAAACGATAATTGGTTGTGAATATACAAAGATTAATAGGGCAGCTGAGATTGATAACCGTTGAAGCCTCCTTCCGTGCCATAAATGTACCCTGTTACTTTCACGGTATGAGTTCAAAGTACGAAATCAAAGAATACGATAGTCTTAATTCAAAGCATGAAAAGATCATTATTGCCTTTCGGCTTTTGCATTGCCCCTATTTCTTGCACTTCGATTTAGATTAGTAGTATTTGATTAGGTACTTGCTAATTTCCTCACGTAACTCCTAATTTTTGGTCTACATAAGTAATTTGATCACTTGCTTGAGAACTTTAGACTTGCAATCGTGTCTCAAATGAGGTACTCCTATATCAGTTGTCACTGACCTCGTAAAACGGCCATTTATTTGATAAAGATTTGCACCAAATTTGTGTTCTTTTGTGCATGGGATGGGAGACCGCAATCTTACCAAGAGAAACGGGGAATGAGGAAGGATTTCAGAATCGAATCAAGGATTTTCATAATTATCTGATTAATATCTATACTAATTAAAGGTTTTAAAACTTTACTATTTGTGTTGTTGTTAGTCAAGTAGTTCAATAGGTTTTTCAACCTAACGGCGCTCGTTAACACACCTAATATTCACTCAACCTACCATATGTATACACCTACTAACAATTATTATTATCTTCCTTTTGCATTTATACACTTTCACTATTTAATCTTGCATAGCCTCCTGGTATTTATTTACTTTCTCTAATTAATCTTATATTTTAAAAATATAATATTTGAAATATATCTTAACGAGTGTCCTATGGGCATACAGTATTTCAATAACATTGGTATTATTTGTTAGTTTTTGGATTGTATCATAAATAAATACGCGTTTTCAATCCTATATTTTTTTTAGTCACTTTTTTTTTAATCTTATATACATAACATCTGAAAAGTTTTATCATAAATAAATCTTATTAGTGCTCCAATAGGCAATCATCATTTAAAAAATAACATAGAAAGGAAATATCTTTCACTTGGCAAAATCAATTCAACAAAACAAAAATGAAGACGAAAAATTGGCAAAATCAAGCCTCTGTTTGATCGCGATTACTCGCACCGACCACGCGCTTGTGTTAAACTTTAATTAAACCAGGATCCGCTGACGCCACCCGCATCTTCACTCATCTCACCCACTCCAGCCAAGCCGAGCCATTAGCCACTAGCCGTTAGCCAAAACCCAATTCCCAGTCCACTTATCAGAATTCAGAGCCCATCTAAAATCCTTGAAAATCATCACAGCCCACTAAAAATATCTGCTAAATCGGTTGAAATTACCGGCTATAGACGGTAACCAAGAAATTGCATTTGGGCTGCATTTGGTGTTAATTTCATTTCATTTCACATTTTGCTCCAAATTGCAAGCCCACACCTAACCCCAGTCAGATTCTAACCCTTGTAAATCTGACCCCAGTTGGTTTATTTAAAGACAGTAAGGCACGCAAATTCTGAAGGCCAGCTGGGCTGTGAAGATCTCTCTTTCTCTCTCTCACCATTTTCCCACTCCCAAAGTGCCTACCCCCTCCTCCCCTCCCGTCTCTCTTTTCCCTGACTTTTCTTTTTGTAGATGAACAGTCCTAGACCATATTCATCACCCCCCTACTAGTCTTCCTACACTTCTTGAAGTGATTGAGTAATAATTATGTAGAGAGAGGGGGTTGGGAGGGAAAAAGGGAAACAATTGATTACTTCTCCACTGGTTTCTTTCTTTTTTCTTTTTTTTGTGTTTGGTTTGGGGTACTCAATTTTCTTGGGTTTCAGTTAGTATTTTTGTTTGCCTCTTTTTAATGGGTTCAGAGGTGGGGGGCGTAGTAGTAGAGGAAGCAGTAGTGTTTAAAAAGGAGAAAGATGGAGTGTCCATGAAAGTTAATGACTTGCATGTTGAATCAATGTTCTGCATACAAAACTGTGCAAGATGGGCTGCTTGTTGTGCATATGATGCCTATTTTGGCTCAGTGTGATCTGTGCTAAATACTAATCAGTTTTGTGACTTGTGACTATATCTCTGTCTCTAGCTCTCTCTCACTCTTGAGTCTTGACAAAGTTTGTACAATTGAGAACATCCCACCAATAAAAACAGCAAAAGTGTAATTGGGGTGGTCTGATTCTGATCTAAAACGGATCTGATTAGAGTACACCACTAAGTCACTCACTGCTCACTACTTCTACCACCATTTACTTCTACTGCTTCCATTATTTGAACAACTTGATCAGTCATCAGTCATGAAGAGACTTGGCAGCTCTGATTCCTTGGGTGCTTTGATGTCTATCTGTCCAACTTCTACAGGTGCTTAGCTAAGCTACTTTCTACACACAAGACTTGTTACAGTGCTTTCATTCAATTTTTTTTTCCCTTTTCCAAAGATTCAAATGTACCAACTGCATGTCTTCCTGTCTCTAATCTTCTTCTTTCTGACAAATTCAAAATGAAACCTGTTACGCCAAACAGCAGATCTTTTACCTGTTTTAGTAGTAACTTTTCCATACCTAAACTAATGTTTTCACCACTATGGTTTCTCTTCAATTTATCTTTAGAAAATTCTAGTTTTAGTGCTAGCTCCTTTGTTATGGGCAGCAAAAAAAAAATTTTTCTTAAGATTTTTACTGATTGTTGGTGCTTTTTTTTTCCCCATTATTTGGTCACTATAGATGAGCATAACCAAGGAAACAGCCATGTTTACCCAAGGGAATTTCAATCCATGTTGGAAGGCTTAGATGAGGAAGGCTGTGTGGAGGAATCTGGCCATGTCCCAGAGAAAAAGAGGAGGCTAAGTGTGGATCAAGTCAAGGCATTAGAGAAGAATTTTGAGGTTGAAAACAAACTTGAACCAGAGAGAAAAGTTAAGCTTGCTCAAGAACTTGGTTTGCAGCCTCGACAGGTTGCTGTTTGGTTCCAAAACCGCCGCGCTAGGTGGAAAACTAAGCAGTTGGAGAGAGATTACGGCGTCCTCAAAGCCAATTATGATACCCTCAAACACAATTATGAGAATCTCCAGCATGACAATGAAGCTCTGATCAAAGAGGTAACCTTTTTTTTTTTTAAAATCGTACTTGCTCAGTTCCATTTTTATGTGTTGTCGTCGATAATATTCACACGAGATAGAAGAATAATTTTTAGCCTCTCTCTCTCTCTCTCTGTCTCTCTCTCTCTCTCTCTCTTTTATTATGTAGATTCGTGAGCTGAAATCTAAGCTACAAGATGACAAAAGCGAAGGCAAAGTTTTAGTTAAAGAAGAGGTAATGGTGTCTGAAAGTGATGATGATAAGGCGATAGATCATCAAGCAAAAACATCAACGGATGATGTTCTAGCTGAATGTGATGAAGATGATGATGCAAATGAGCTCAACTTTGTTGAGAGCTTCAGCAGCAGCAATGGAGTAATGAATGGTGCCTCAATTTTTACTGATTTTAAAGATGGATCGTGTGATAGTGACTCAAGCGCAATCTTGAATGAGGAGAATCTCAATAACAGCAGCAGCAGCCCAAATGCTGCTATTTCTTCATCTGGAGGAGGGGTTGTTCTTCAAACAGTACCCCACCAGTTCTTGATATCCAATGGAGGAGGAGGAGGAGGAGTTGGTGGTTCTTCATCAACAACCATTAGTAATGGATTCCAGTTTGGTCATGACTCAAAAGCAGCAATTCTTGGAGAAGCTCACAAATCATCATCAGCAGCAGCAGCAGCCGCATACCAGCCACAGTTTGTGAAAATTGAGGAGCACAATTTTTTCAGCGGTGATGACTCATGCAGTACCTTTTTTTCAGATGATCAACCTCCCACTCTTCATTGGTATTGCCCTGAAGAGTGGAATTGAAGAGAAAAAAAAAAAAAGGAAAAACCCTCGTCCAATAAAAAAAAAAAAAGAAAAAAAAAACCACCCTTGGGGAAAAAAATAATTAATGATACTTGAGACAAGGAGAAATCAAGAAGATATATCTCAATTCTGAACCCATCCATGCCCGCTTCCAAGGGGAAAGAAGTTTTGTATAGTGGTAATTTTATTTTAGTTGAATATGATCATGTAATTAATCAAGAAGAAGGTCTCTTCATTGTACAAAAATGAAGTTACAAATGCAGTTCCATCAGGATCCAAGATTATGAGTGAGAGAGAGAGAGAGAGAGGAAGGGCACGGATAGATGACAGAGATGACATACAAAGTTCACGTGGGGTTGTAGTCGGACAGTGTAGAGGTGGGAATGGAGGTGACAGAGAAAGAAGCGTGTGGATTCGGGTAAAAGCGGCCTTGGCCTTTGTTTGGGAATGATTAGGTAATAGGTTTGCCGTAATTTGATCAACATTTTCACACGCTCCTGTGCTTTTTGGCTTACCATTGGAGAAAGAGAGAGTGGAAAAAAAGAAGGGTTCCAAGGGAGATGTAAATTATGATGAATGATGGAGAATTCCTATGATGGTGGAAAGTGGTAAAAGATGGATTAAAGTAGTAACATATTATTATTAGCATCTTCTATATTATATGTTATCCAATGTTTAAGCTGTCTTTGCTACTTGTTTAAGTGCATGAAAGAATAAGCAAAAAGACTCATGAGACTCGTGAAACCTAGCTTCAAATTACGTAGTTCTTTAATAAAAGAAGCTTAACATTGCCTGCTGCGGTTTTGTGTTTTGTGTTTTGTGTTTTGTGTTTTGTGTGTTGGCCTCTACTCATATTTGGTTTCTTCCCCTTGTGCCTTCTTTCGGTTATTTTATTTTGTCTAAAAGAGAAAAAAAAACTAGGGTAGAACAAATATAGGTCTCTTTCGATTGAAGATCATGTGAGAATTTTTTAAAAAATTAATATTACGTTATTTTTTATGATGTAATGTATATAATATAAAAAATAATTGAAAATATATTAAGATAATTGAAAACATTTTTATAATGTAATTGAAAAATTAAATTAATTTTTTATATACTGGTAATGTGTACACTTTCACAGTTGAATACATGATACGTAATTTGAATTTAAATTTTGAAATTCAGATTTTATATATGTATTATGCATCCAACCATTATATATAGTATATTACAAAATCAGTGTACATAAGATTTATTCAAAAAAAATTTCAAATTAGCTTTGCTATTTTTCAGGGCCGCTATATGAAGATATGATTATCCCACGTCTTATTTGCAAGAGCAATTTTTTTTTTTTTTAGAAGCCCAGCCAAAGGAGGAGGACGGTAATGGTTTGTTTAAAAGAATTTATTTGGCTGTGCACGGCACAAGAAACAGTAAAAAATAATACAATAATATAAAAAGAGGGTGCAAACTTGAATTAGTTGAGTTTAATGGACTAACAAGAAATATATATTCTTCCCAAAGTGACGTTTGAATTTGAGTTGGTTAATGTAAAATGTTCTTTTGGTCCCATCAATACGAGTGTAAACCAACAATTAAAACAAAAAAAAACAATGCAGTAGGATTCATTAGAGAAGAAAACTGTGCTACTACAGCATGTTAGATAAAATTCGGGAAGTTGAAAATTTTTCTAAGAATTGTAAAAACTTGTGTTTGACACATTATTTTCTTAATACTTCATATGTATTCTACCTAAATTTTTAAAATTTGTAGACAGTTTTGACCATTTACGTTGTTTGTCAGATATGAGGCTTATAAAATTTTTGCCACCTTTAAATTATATAATTGATTAGTAATCAGGCTTAACCAATATTTTGCTTTAAAGTTCTAAGTACATATTCACGTCAAAAAATTACAAGGAATTACATTGATTTGAATACTTCGTGTAGCAAATAACTATTCATTGGCTCTTTGTTAAGAATTAAGAGTACTCGTTAGTACTCTTCGTTTTCTATGGATAGAGTATTATTTCAAATTATTATTTAGAATAATTACTGTAATACTTTTTGTGATATGATGTATGTGAGATAAAAAAATAATTAAAAATATAAAAAGGCAGATACAAGCGAAAAATGTAGGCTTAACCAATGTATTTACTGTAGCACTTTCGTGCGCTGCATTTTCCGATTTCATATATTTTCCCCCTTCTTTGCCTCGTGCTAAATGTCATCACAAAAGTGTAGTCAATTCACACATAGATAAGACAAACAGCAATTTGAAAAAAAGTGTATGTAGTGTAATAACTACACTTTACATATACATATATACAATTTTTGTCTAGGTCTTAAATGGATCCAATTCATTGGTTTTGCTTGGTCAAACTTTCATTACAAAATATTTAATCATCTTAGATGTTAACGATTTAAGCAATCGAATCAATTTTCTAAACCCTGCACCTACAGTAAAATTTTAAAGGATGTGCGATACTGCACCATTTTGGTTTAGAGATACGATCCTCTCTTAGAGCAGTTTAGTTCTCCCTTAATATTGTATAAAGTAGGAGTAGGAGTCGCCGATTTGATTTAAAAAAAAAATAAACAATTTTCTTAGATGAAGCCCAATATTTTGTCACCAACTTCTAGTCATTCTGCAAACAATTTTGCAGTTATCCTACAACGATGATATTCAACATACAAGCATGAGCCAATAAATTCTTCCGCTCTACATCATCCTAATCTTTTATGATTATTTATATCTATCATTTTCAAAAAAATGTTAAACCAATGAATTTTTCTGATAAAATGCTTTAGGTCAAAAAAAGCCATCAATTTCAGCCCAATTCGCAATGTTCATGTAGCACTCCAACCAAAATTAAAAAGAAGTAATAATAATAATCCTATGAGAGGTTAATTTTGTCAACCAAAACGATATATCATTAGTTCAGCCCAAAATCTCATCATACAGGCTTTGTGTGGGGATGGTGTCAACCGACATGGATTTATTTGCAGAGGGAAAATTCAACTGTTACATTATTATACTAACATAAATCATTTTGTTAATTAATAATACCAACCTAATCATGTTTGGAGATGCCTTGAACTTTTGGTTAAGCAGAGATTATTTTGTAGTTTTAAATTTGGAGTTGTGTTGTCATTTTGCAATCAGATCAGTATCTGTCTTTGGAATCATATCTTGGAGCATCAATAAGGTAATGTGCTAATCTGGTGAACAAAGGCCGATGAATCTATCTCTGAGTCATACATAGAAACAACTGCTATACTTCAAAGGAATTGTTTTAAGGTGCAAGAGTTGTATACGTGATTAAGGTTATAAAAAAAAAAGTCGAATTTACTGAATAATGATGCCTATAAGATAAAAGAGAATCATATAGATGACTGTTTTAGTCACAAGAAAAATTTCCAAATATAGTTAGACATAAGCTCTTGGTTTTGATTTTTAACCGGTTTATGTTTTGGATAATTTTCACTTCAATTATGTTTGGATAGTAAATTTTTCCAAAAAAATTTTTCGCTTGCATCATAAACACATTTCCCAATTCACCTTTCCTTTTAATATTCCTAACCAACTTTTTATCTCACATACATCATATCACAAAAAGTATTACAGTAATTATTCCAAATAATTATTTGGAATAATTCATTATAAAAAAAATGTTTTCAGTTTAACTCTTCTTGTAAAGAAACATTCTTTCAAATTTGTTGAACTTGAAATATACCCATCAACTGTTGTTTGGTCCCCATAAAGCTTGAAACGTATTTATTCAAAGAAGATTTTGAACTTTTTCAATTCGTTGTTTATTTCAAGAATGAAAACATATTCACGACTCGAGTGCCCATTCACAGAAGGGGAATTAAAATCGATAAATTACGTTAACCTCTTGGACATTTTACAACTCATTTCAAGCCAACAAAAAAAAACCACCCTTAGAGTTATTCTGGCCAGTGGCCTGTTATATGATCATATTTCCCCAGATAACATTACTAAAATAGTAATTATTATATATTGTGATGTCGAAAACTAAAAAATCCAAGGTCCTGTTTCAATAGTAAATTTTAAGAATATTCCTTCAACACCCTTTTATACTAGCTATCTTTTGATATCACGTACATTATTTCTCAATTTTATCTTTGCAAAAAACTTTGGGTTAATTTTACTTTGCACCTTTAAATTATACATACACTCTTATTTTGGGGTCCTAAACTTTAAAATAAAAACACTTTAGTATCTAAACTATAAAATTTGCTTCACCTTAGCCCCTCAAGTATATAGCTTATTCCACCTTAACCCTTAAAATATAAAATTATTTCTAGTATAGTCCCTAAAGTATATCCACTTAAGTCTAAAATCTACTCAACTTCCTCAATGATCTTAATTAAATGGGGCAAAATTTATAATTTAGGGACTAATTTGTCTCATTTTAAAGTTTAAAATCCAAATAAGAATTTTGGTATAATTAAATGGTGCAAAGTGAAATTAGCCTGCATTCCGAAAAAAACTCATAAAAAATAAAGTCCAAATAAAAGTCAAGGCCTTGTTTGGATTGTTAGTTCTTAAAAAAAACTTTTTGAAAATTTTTTTTAAAAAAATTCCATAATACATCTCCCAACCACATTTAGCATATCTTCAAAAAATTGATACAGTATAAATATAAATACACAAATACACACACACACACACATATATATATATATATATATATATATATATAGTCTCTACAAAAACTGTCAAAATTCCCAACCAAAGGATCTAAGGTTTCATTACAATAATAGTCTTTGACATATTATGAGGAAAAATTGTACAGCGTCAACCACTTCTTTCAAATATTCTAGCAAAAAAATCGCCATTACAACAGATAACTTTAATTAGTCCAAGACAAGAAAATACACAGGATAAATTTACCCATAGAACGTACTCAAATCACCTGTGATGGAATAAAAACTCAGATTGATCCTAAAAACTCTGGAATGACGGAAGAAGATCTCAACAAAATTAAAAGGAATGCCAGCTGAATTAAGTGCCGTCGTGGAGAGAAGAAAAGGAAAAGACACAGATAATTAAAGGGAAATTTAAAGAGTGGTTGGGACATGAAAAGTAGTGCCAGATGATTGGATCCCAAAAGTACGTGTGTCTGTTTACAGCCGCAGCTTTTGGCGCATCATTTCATACTTAGCTTTTTTGTGTTAAAAGTTAGTACCTACACTACGAGACATGCTAGGCTGCTCTAGCATAGCATAATGTGCTTAATAAACACATATATTTTTTAACTTTTGATACTATGGAAATTCAATTAATAGTTAGGGTTAAAAACAAAAAAATTCTTGCGGTGTATCTAATACATAGAAAAGCCTCTCGTAATTTTAAAATATACAAAATGACACCTCATATCTTGAAGTAAATTATAAACTAATAGAATCCGATAAACTTAACGAAATCCAATAAACTTAACGAAAAATTTAATGAAATCCGGCAAACTTAACAGCCAAGACTGTTATTTTCGTTAAGTTTAACGAATTCTATTAATTTACAATTTAATTCAAAATATGAGACGTCGTTTGATATGTTTTGAAATCACAAGAAACTTTTCTACATAATAAGTATTTCAAATGGGACTTTTTTATTTTTAACCCTAATAGTTAATAGTATATAAGTTTCATTTGAAATTGGTTCAGATTAATTGTGAGGCATATTTTTAAATAAACAATTTATTATATTTTTACATTTTTGTTTATTGCATTGTATCTTCATCTATTCTATTAGTTCATATTTATTGCATACTGCAATTAAAACGGGTGAT